GCCGGTTTCCTAAGTTTTTGTAACAAACCCGTCGAGTATTTTTTCTTTGAACTGTCCGAGTCGCTCTAAAATCAATTATAACGGAGTTCACACTTTTATTGAACTATTGTATTCATAGGACTGTGAAAAAATAGTCAATGAGTACGGTAGTGATATACATAGCTGAATAAAGATTTTTGCTGCTGTTTATTTATGACTGGGATCTGAGCATTTCTATGAATCGCAGCAACCCTCTTGAACAATAATGTTCATTTTTTACATGACTTTTCATAGAGATAGCTGATATAAGTTATCTCAAAGGTTTTGTAACTCCCATTTTCGATGATTGAGAGTCAATAAAAATTTTGAAGAATTAGCACAAATATTTGCGCAATACATGTATCACGAAAATCTTCGGGTCTCTTTGAACATAACTTGTTTTTCTCTATTCCATTAAAATATATAGTGATTTTTTGGTATCCTTAAATATGAACATTATTTTAGATTGCAAAGTTTGCGCGCTTCTATCAACAATTTTTTTTGCTTACTGAAATTCAAGCTTAAAGAAAACTGTTATGCCCAAGGCAAAATCTGCCTTTCATCTGCAAATATACTTATTAATGTGAAGCGTTTCGTAAAAACGGACAGGTGTTTTTGTAGCTCTAGTGGTTGACGTTATGGTTAACCATTGCATTATATTATTTAACGCACACCTGTGAGCGCAGCTTGAAAAATTCTTCCTCAAAAAATCCTTATCCTTTGTTGTAGGAATAAAAAGTTTAATAGGGCTTGTAACTTTTAACTTCCAGAAACAATGAAAAGAAGTAGTTACACAACAAGTTTAACAAAACCGTACAAAACTTATAAACAATATCATTTAAAGACTTCCCCACCCGCTCTCCTCCTTCCCACTTTCTTCCTCTACTCGTATTTCTCTTACCACTCTCCCCCTCCTACGCATCATAGTCACTATACTTCTTAGCAGTATTGTATTTTGTTACAAAAGAAGTATGTATAAACATCCCAGCTTAGCGGCAAAAGGGTAACCTATATAATCTCCCCTCATCCCTTCCCTCTTCCCTCGTACACAGTGGTTGAACTCACCGATAATATAGGTTCGAGATGTTCCTTCTCCATGGATGAACCAGTCTGAGCCTCAGCATTGCTAAAAAGGAAAACGGATTCAAAAAATGTTAGGCTTTTTCAAGTTTCGT